TCATTTCCCACGAGGCTATTATGCCAATAAGCTAAATTGTTTATGGGCCACATTTTAAGGGTCGAAAGGCGAAGCACTCTAGACAATGGCTGAATATTCCTAAGAATCATTAATCATTTGTCTGGGTTTGTCCTAAATATCTACCACAAAGTACGCACCAAATTCCCTCAGAGATTTCACTCAGCTTATCAGTCTGGGAAAAGGGAAATATATTCCTTCCACTTGGATGATAAATTCGAAAGGCATAAACTTGCCAAGCTGATAAACTAGTGGAGTCGCCCGCAAACTATTTACCAATTCCTTTTGGGCATATGGCGCCGAAATCAGTTAGGAAAACAGGACTGTTATTAATACGCCAATCAGCATAAGCAGCTGATGCGTTGATAATGCCCAGGGGCCTGGGGGAAAACGAGGGGAAAACCAGAGGAAAACAGAGGGGGGAAACCAATTCGCAGACCTCTGAATCGTCAGTAGTCATAAATTTAGCCAGAGGCTAGAAAAAGTTGAGAAAATATATTGCAGCAAAATGGAATCGAAAATTTTTTCAAATACACTGGGAAAATATTAAGTATACGCAGTGTGTGCTGGGAAAAATTCTTCGGTTCATTTATTTACTGCTGTTTTTCATCTACTGTTTGTTTATTGTTTAATTTTATCTTCAATTTATCTAACCCAATTGCTTTTCCCTGTGTAGGAAGAATAGGATAATAGGACATGGTGGGAAAAACTACAAGGCCCGCCCCCACGCTTATCGCTAAAAGAAAATCAGCAAGCGAAACTACTGGCCTTAGTAGAAGGACTAGAGGAAGAAGCTGAACGAAACAGGCGGAAGTGCTCAAAAAAATATGTAAAGCCAAAAGAATGCCACTCTCTCTCTTCTAGGAACACCCACCAACACTCACAAACACCCACCAACACCCACCAACACTCGCAAACACCCACACACACTCACAAACAAAAGGCCTGAGAGGAAGTGAAAGGAGCCAGAAGAAGAAGAGCCCGCGCTCTGGGCTTCCAAGGCGAAAAAAAGGACATGAGCAGAGCAAGGATATGGCACAGTATGATAAATAACAGATGAGCAAAGGGTGTCAGCTTTGTTGCTCCACGTTGGCTCCAGGGGAAAACCTTGGGGGGAGGGAAGAAAACTAAGTAGAAGGAGCGGGAAAATTGGGTTCTTTGCTTATTGAATGTACGACATCAGAGCAAACACTAACAGGAGAACGAAACATGAAGGCTGCACAGGCGACAAACAAATTAGGAAATTTTTTAAGAATTTAAGAAATGTAAAAAAAACACAAAAAAGTGGGACATTTTTAATTGATTTTTCAAAGTTGTCTAAGAGGTTGTTGTAAAACCTTAAATTTTCTAATCTTCAACCTTTTTTCTAGCTAAGATGACTTAATATTGTATCTAATAATTCTTATAATTGTCTGGAAAAACTTTTCACAAGTTCACCATCGTTCTTCTTGTCGCCTGGCAAAAGAACATAAAACCTAAGTGAATAAAAAAGTACTCATGTTGTGAAGTGTCCGCAGGACTTCCGACTATTTCCACTCTTGGTGGAAATTTCAGCAAATACATTGACTGTGAGAACGTCATGAATATTAAATTGCGATTATTGCCACTGGCAATGTGACATGGTCTGACTTGGCAACGTTTAATGGCTTTTGGGGCTTGAGTTTTCCGGCATGTTTGGCCAGATGTCGTCTCCCCTGGTTAGCCATAACCAAGGACATCCCCACAATAGTATCTCGATTTAGATGTACGCTCGTTGAGCTTAATTAAGTGCACTTTAATTAAGTCAGAAATATTAACTAAAACCTTTAAACTCTGTCATTTGCATATGTGCAAGCCATACGTTTGACCCCATTTCGGCTTGAGCGTTGGTTCTTCTCTCTCTCTCCATATATATTTATATAGATCTCATGATTTGATTGATTAATGGCCTTCGGATGGTCGGGTTGCTTATGGGGGCGAATAAGTGGGCGTGAAGCTGGGAAGTGGCAAAGTAAAAATTGCCTCGATGCTCTCAGCTTGCTGTGATTGAGAATTTGATTTATTGGCAGCAAACTAAGTTTGGCCGAACGTCAAAGGCAGTCAACCGGATGCAAGTTGACACTATGCTTCTGTGACATGCAGAAGAACTGTGAGGTGAATGGCTTAGTAATTAAGGAATTGATTTAATGATGATATAAATACCCTTTTTATACCTTTTTCTTATAGACTAAAAGTCTATAACATTGAGTTAGAAGGGGAAAGGTATCCTTAAGTCGAAGCTCTCGACTATTAAAATCGATTCTTCTTGGTTATGTTGTGATTAAGTTATTAAGTTATTTAACATCTTTCTCTAACTGACGCTCCATTTTGTTCTCAGCATAGATCTAAATACCATAAAAAACCCCAAAAAAACCCTTCCTTTGACCTGTCAGGCTCATAAGACCCAAACTTTCAGTTCATATATTACAAAGGCACGAAAAACAAGGAAAAACTCAAAATCCAGATACAGATTCACTTTTTCGGTGAAAGTTTTTGTGATTTATTTAGAAGCCAAACCAAAATAAAACCCAAGCAAAATGTATCGAAATTTTTTGTACGCTTTTCCCCATGATGCCAAACCGTTTGCGCTGTTCAAGGCATTGGTTCCTCAGGAGACCAGCCGGGAGCAATTAGTCCGATGTCAGCTAGCTTTGAAATTACCTGGGAATGAAGGCAACATTTCCTGGGCCCGTCAGTACGCCAAGTTTGGAGTTCGCAAGAGCGAGGGATTTATGTGGGGCCTGGCAAAGTTTGAGAGCAATTGACCAACTGACTGAAAGTTTGAGAGCAACTGACCAAGACAAACCAATATAAGCGGGAAAACACTGGAGATTTCTACTTTCGCTACAGTTTTTTTTTGAATAAAAGGAACAACCATCTTTTTAATAAAATATTTGTTTCTGCATTTACTGAAGGTAAAACGTTGCATCTTCCTGAAAGAACCTAACCTATGCAGACAAAGACAACCGGAAAATGCATAAACTAATTGCAATCAATGTGCTAGTGAAGTGAAACGAACCCGAAAACTTTGATCAAGTTAACAGAGAGAAGGATATGAATTTGCCAAGACCGGCGGCAGATGTGAAAAACTTTTTCCTTGCGTAATTAAAAGGAGAAAAGTAAGAAATTAAAAAGCTGTGAAAAAAGTCGGGGCCAAAAGCAAATCAAATTAAAAAGTTACATGCCACACACAGACGTACACACTCATACATATAACCATCTTTTGTGGCATTATAAGCATGGCTAGACCTACCTCGTTTTTCCGCATTTCCCAAAGCCACTCACATACATGATAGAAGGGGGGGAAATATCCTAAGCCCATTGTGTTCACTTGGCTTTTGTGGCTCAAGTTCGAAAGAGGCTTTGTCGTCGTTGGGATACTGTAATTGAATTTTGCCCTTTGTTGACAAACAAATTATTCTTGACTTAACCAGTGAGGCCATAACAGAGTGAAGTAAATTATGTTAATTTTTGGCCGTGCTCTTGGCACTTTGGCCAGGCGAAATGTGAATTTAATTCGGTTTACGTACAATCCAATATATTTAATGGCTGCCAACACGCCCGACCCACCCGCGCGTGCCCACATGGAAAACATGGAAATAAATTGAAAACGTTGTGGCCACCGCCTGAACGTGTGGCCAAGAGCAAAGGACCAAAGACCAAGGATTCTCCATAAGCGAAGATCTATAGATAAATGATGTCCAACGATGTCACGTGTAAAGGCGTAACTCCTGCCCACTGGATAATGATGAAAATGGTTAATATCCGTTCGCTTGGAAAAATGCGAAATTACATAAAAAAAGAAAAAGGAAGAAACATAAAGACCATCTCGAAGAGAGTGTCGTTCGAAAGTATGCTTGTGTAAACGGAAAAGTATTTTAATGAAATTTTAAATGCCAATCAATGGAAAATCGGTATAAGCCGCCGTGAGAATGGGAGCCGGAACTTCCGCCTTGCTTCGTTTTAATACTTCGACGAGTACAAATACTTTTAATTGGCAATCCGAAACGCACATTAACCGATTGCCGCAATCCATTTCCCAGGCACAAAAAAAAAAGAAAAAGATGTTGGAAAAGCAAGTGAAAAGCTTTCAATAAACTTTTCGGCAACTTGGAAACTTATCCTCGTGGTTTGTGGCTTTTAAAATGTAAGGAAAACACATTTTGAGAAAGGCAGCCCCCGTTTATCTGATGAACATTTTGCGTCTTGTCTATGGGGTTATCATAAATCTACACTAGAAAAAATGATTTTATAGATTAAGTTCCAACAAAATTGTTGGAAAAAACGATTTTTTACACCAAGGCCCATAAATTTCTTTCAAAATTCGAAATATTTCCCTATATAAAATACAATTTTATTCAAATAAAACTTAATTTGAGTGTAGAAGATCATAAAATAGCCCGGTTTAATATCCCACCGCCCTTGAATGTGTTGCAAGGACCACCTGAGATCCTCTTACTAACCGCAGGATACACACGAAGTGGCACACATATCGCCATTTCCATTGCCTTGCTCGGTTATTTATGATAATTCAAAGTAATATCCTGCAGCAATTTCATCAACAAAGACACAGGCTAAGGACGAGAGGTGGTGAGAGCTCATGTGGAAATGCAAATATCCCTTTTGAAAGCCAAGGATGCGCCCCAAACCCTCCCCCTCACATATAACCATTTCCACCCATAACGGTGGGCTGCGAAGGAGACCTTCGAAATGGCTGAAACGTGTCAAATGTGTGAAAATTGGGAAAATTTGTTTGTCTAATTGGGAGGGAAACGTGTGCTAGGTTAGCCATTACCTGCCATTTTGGGGGCCTTTCAGTTAACCAAAAAATAACAGGTGTGTCTTTCTGGCTTTAATCAAAAAGGGAATTTGATTCAATTAGAAGATGAAAAGATATGTATTTAAAAGGAAATTAGATCAGAGAGATAGAGAGTAAGCCTCTAATAAATAAGAAAATATTTGCATTTAAAATCTGCATTTTTCTTTTATTTCACACAAAAATTTCTCAACTTTGGACTCATCAATAATTCGAACAGGACTGCTTACAAAACGCTACACATAAAGAACGGGTTCTGACAAATACATCCAACATAAATCTCGAGTTCGGATTCTACCGATGGCATTTCAAAATCCTTTCTTCATCACTTTTGATTGGCGGGACAAGCCATTTGGTAGAGAAATTGTACCAGAGTGCGTGTTGGCCTGCCTGTCATGTGTTGGGACCTCAGATAGGGTATCAGTCCAAATTTGGTCAACATGCCAGTGCCCCTCGTATCCAGATGAGCCCAATCCACACATGGAACCATTTCGTGGAGTACAGCCGCTGCCAGACATGATGATGCCAGGCCTCTACCATCGTTGCTGAGATCATAGCCCATTTCATCAGTGACTTGTTTCTTATAGTAATTCCACAGAGGCAGACGCCAAACTCGATCGCCAGTGAGGGCTCCGGCCGACTGAAACTGTTTCCAGATGTAATGGGAATTGGAAAATATGCCCGTGGCTCCGCCTCCAAAAGCTTTTTGTACTCCCGAACCCAAAGTGGCCACGTCCACCACGAGCCGTGGCTTGTAGGTGCTCTGTCCATAAAGCAAGGGATCTGCCATTACAACCACACCAGCCTTGTCCAGATCTCTTACAGCCATAGACTTGTGATTCATCAGGGTGACCACATCACCGGGCTTGCAGGCCATGCCCGAGGGCATATTCTCGCACAGTGGGATAATGCAACAAACATTGATGGGCAACGATAATGCAGCACAGCATCGCATCATGGCCACACAAGATGCCGCACCGGACATACAGGCTCTGTATTCATCCATTCCCTCGCAACTCCTCAGGTTTATGGCACCCGAGTTGAAGGTTAGGCCCTTGCCCAGGAACAAAACTGGCTTATCTTCTGGATTCGTTCCGCAGTAGGTGATCTCCATCAAGACGGGTGGCTCACAACTGCCCTTGGCGATCATAAGGAATGAATGAAGACGTTGCTGTTCAATCCATTCCATGGTACGAATTTCCACGGTAATACCACACGGGCACAAAGCATCAACAGCGGCCTGAGCAAACAGTGTGGGTGTCATACAACAGGCTGGCGTTTCAGACATCCTTCTGGCCAAATTCTGTGCCTCCGCCTTGAAGACACCCCGGGTCCAACTATCATAATCGGGTGAGTCATATAGATGGACTTTGGGAATGTGTGGTGGTTTCCTCTTCGAGTTCATATCACAATATCGCCAAATGGCTAAGACGGCACCCTCGGCCGCCTGTTCGGCATAATCCATGCCATCAACAAAGACCTCAGAAGCGCCACCTTCTTGCAAGGATCGAGCACCAATACCGGCAGCTATGCGTACATTCTCCATGCCCTCGTCCAGCATTTCCAGTTCATTGAAGCCAATGCCCTCCAGGCCGACACCAACCACTGCCAGGCTGCGAAATTCTGGATCTATGTTATTGAAAACCTTGCCTTTCCCCAGATGACCAGTGATCTTTGTCTCGCAAATCAATTCAGCCAACTTGCCATGCAGACGATCATTGATCTTTTCACCAGCCGGCGTTAACTTGGGATCATTGTCACCCTCTTTCTGGTAAAGGCCAAGCACAAGACCTTTCGTGGTCTTCGGTTCACCGCCGCAGCTATTACGTATTTGATTCAACTGCGGCAGACGAAGCGTCATCGATTTCAAAACATTTCGCATTTTGTTCATTTTAGTTATTATTTAATATTATCTATTTGCCTGTTTGGACCAAATTTAGTTTCCACTGGAATTTCGTAGTCGCCAAAATGATAATTGTTTACGAATTCTAATGTCTTTCGTTCATTAAACTCGGGAACCGATTGTCCAAATGGCTACACCCGAAAACTCGATTCTTGTACATGAAAATACAAGTCACGAAACACGACAAAGAATTTTGATAAACAAATTATAGATTTTTTTCTATATTTTCCAAAAAAAAAAAACAGACTAGGCACACGACACTTTCAAAGCTTGGAGTATACTGAGGGTAAGTTCGGGATCCATGAGGTAAAAAAAGTTTTGTTTCTGAAGTTTGCTTCAAGGGCTGCTTCATTTTTTATAAATTAAATATTGATTTTAATATATTTTTATGGGAAATATTTAAACCAGCTTGCCTAGTGTAGTATATCCATACATAACGTAAGCTAACAGCAGTCAACGGGCATTACGTTACGTCATTAGTAGACACCACTCATATTTGCGTAGCCGCTGTGAGTAAGCGTTAGTCCTAATTTAGTTTATTTTTTGTATGTAAGATTAGAGCGCCGATTTGGTGTAAATAAGTCATGATAATGGCTTCCGAGGTTTTATCTTGGCGTGATCTGGTTATCTGCGGTGGCGTGTTTGTTCTACACACCTGAGTTAGGTATATAAGGAGCTTTGGACTAGATCTATAGCCTGGCATTCCTTTCTTTCCCAAACTATCTTCCACCTTAACCTCTCTCTGCTGAAAAGGATTTATTTCCTTCACTGAATATTCATTTAGCGGCTTTATGTTAATCATCTACTTGTTATTCAAGCCAAGAGACTCAGTCCAATTGACAGCTGTTCCCTGAATTATGCTTGGCCACATTGCATAATTAAAGGTGAAACTAATGGAGTACAAATGATTTAAGCGGCTAATTAAACGCGAAACTTAACCAACTCGATAATTAATGCAAATGTCCTTCGATGTTGATGTTTAACCAGATGATTTACAGATTGAAACTGCAAACCATCAAACTATCCAAACTTCATAACTAGAACTATGAAACTATTAAATTTCAACACATTTTCAGTTTATTTACGTAATTAGCTTGGCCATTAATATGCTTCTGATTAATATGCTTAATTTGAAACAGAAAAACAGAAATTAGAGGAAGAAAAAGCAAATATTTTATGGGTGGAAAGTTAAAAAAATATATTCATTTCCGAACTTTAAAAAACTAAATTAAATTAAATGGAGCTTGCTAAACCGATATTTATTTTACATCTACAAAAAGTATAAAAAATTCTTTACAAACTTTTTTAAAGCCCATAAATTAACTCGCTTAATTAAGCCACCAGCAAAGCCCGCAAAAACTTTTCCTATAATCGAATTGAAAATTGCTCTTCAGAAGCACTTTTGACGCCTTCTGTAAGCCAAAAACTAGAAGCTACCACAAAATGTATCTGTATCTTGAAGCTCAAAACAGTTTCCCCTTTAAGTTGCTAGAATCTTTGTTGTTGTTTCAGTTGGTGGGTTGGCATTTAGAGGAACTTTTCGGCTTGGCAAATCGGCAGGATACCGCTTCACCGGAACCATGTCATAAAATGGTGTTGATGATGTCTGTCTGAGTGTGGGCTCATATGTGTAGGCACACACACATATATAAATGTATATATAAGTGTAGAGGAGATATTTTAGTATTAGTGTTGACAACATTTGCTGCCAACAATTTCATTACCGCCACATTTAAAGTTTTGCCAAGCACACATTGAAAATGAGACAGCAGAAGATACATGGCTGCCTTGATGGTGGCACTGAGAGAAATAATTATCATAAATTGATAAGAATTTTATTGATAATCAAAATTACTTTGGCAAAATGCCTTAAAAATCATTTTCAAACGACAAAAAAAGTCATAAAGTCATTTGTGTTTAAGAACCAAAAATCTGGTCACTTTAACATTGATATAAACAAACTTGGTCACTTTGGAAATCTTAAAATTTAATATAATTTCATGTTTTCACGTCTCATTAGAGCCAGCAAAGAAACCCAACAACTAGAAACGAACAAACTATTTCTTAAGAAATATTTTTCAAGCCTTTTATTACATAAATCCCCCTTTTCTTCCAGTGCACATCCATGTATGTATGTCCTGGCAAAAACTCGCGTTCAACTCTCGCTTATGACTAAGCCAGGCAGTCGCTGCTGTTTCTATTTGTACAGCAGTCAGGCCATCCATCCAGCCTTTGGCCCTGCCCCCCTTCCTGAACTCTGGCCCTCTGATATCCACTGGAGAGAGCCTGAGCTCGTTATAAATGGAAAACTTTTGCTGCTTTCTCAAGTGGTTTTTCTCTACGAGTTTTTTTCACCCATTTTTGCCGCACTGTTTTTGGCTGTTGCTTTCAGCTTTTGCAGTTCACATTTGATTCGGAAAAGTTTTTTACGCTTGTTTATTTTAGTTTTTAATGAGAGAGACATGTCGGTGGAAATCGAGATCGCATGTCCCTGGTATTTGACGATTAGCCATGTGAAATGGTTGGTCAAGTTCCGTAGTTCCGTTGGAAGGAAAAACTTTTCTGGTCATACACACAGAGACATATATATTTCGGTGATTTTCATGGCTGGAACAAAGTTCCAGGGGGGGAGAGGAAAAACTTTCATGATGGATAGAGGTGGGAGAATGGGCTGTAGAAATTTGTCAAGTGGCAATTTCAACCGGTGGCAAAGTGTCTGTGCAACAGTTGAACTCACATTCCACTCATTCTAGGTATAGGAATGATATCTACTTGTCTGCCAGTCTGCATAATATTGATTTCCCCAGCTGGAGGTTTTTCCTACTATCTTTTTCTTTTTTTCGTTTTAGCATGACTCCCGTCAGGACTTATGCACTTATCCTTGGTCCGATTCGAGTCCTTTGGCAATCTTCAATCTCGTTCTCTAGTGGCTGACTGGATAACACACACAGTTTGAGTGTTTTTAATTTCTACTTTCCTCTATTGGGGCATGAGAGGGATACTCGCCAGGATATCGAAAGTCACTGAAGGACCCATCATCTGGCATTTGAACACTGGTTTTTTGCTGTTCCTTCTGGCCATTTGCATTCATTTGTTTGCCACTGAATGTGAACCAATTCCTGTTTGCCTTTTTATTGAAAGTTGCAATCAAATGATTGCAGTATATGTCACTGCCATCGACCCGCATTTTATTTATATCTTGTATAAGATTTTCTTTTTTTTTGTTTTCCCAATTTTGCGGCTTTTTTCGCAACTGCATTTATTGGTTAGATTTCTCTTTTTCTTCCGATTTGTTGACATTTTTGTTAGCCAACTGACAAAAACAGGTCACAGATATGTTGTACACTTTTGAAATGATAAAAATTCGTGTTATTTAATGTGATTTTAAACTGAATTCAATTTGATATTCATTTGATTGATGGCTGGATTGAATATTTGACACTTCCAGGAATGAAATTAAGTTTGTAAAAACGGAATAAAAATGTTTGTTTATTTCAAACCAAAAAAGTTCAACTTCTGTTAAATTAGATCAAAGATAAAACTTCATAGATTCCCTTTCCTAATAGAACTACAAATTTGCAATCTCATTCAACTTCTCCTTGGAACTCCCTTCTAATTGCTTAATAAATCGGTTAAGCAAACTAACTTTCCAGCTGCTTAGTCCGAGTCTGCTAAACTTTCTCCTCTCTCTCTCTCTTTTTACTTCGCTTGACTAAAGTTTGGCAAATTCCAAGCAAATATATAAATAATTGAGTTATTTGAGTAAGGACGAGGCGGAAATTGGCAGAAACGAAATGTTCTCATCACTTAAATTGAAGGCAAATATGTAGTTTGATTTCCCCTCCCCCTCTCTGATTTTCCATCACAGGCAAATTGAAAAGTTGCAGCTCTCGTATAAAAAAAAGTAGAACGAATAAATGCCAGCAGGAGGCAAGGAAAAATCCTGGCTAACACATGGGTGTGTGTGTGTTAGTCACAGTAAGCTGCAGCTTAGTTGTCCAAAAGGGATGATTTACCTACACTCTACCCCCTCATGTTGGCAGGCAATCAATAGTTCTTTTTTTAATTGACGATTTAAGTTAATTGAAATTCATCATTAGACTGATTGATCGGCAGACAACGACTGTCGAATATTTTGCTTTCATTTCCGTAACATCTAACAATTTGCACTGTTCGGAAAATAAGCCGATTATGGCCAAGGCCAAAATGAAAGCAAGCAATATGCCTAAAGGAATTTCCTTTTTGGTCATGATAGTATCACCGCCTCACCCCACCCACTGCCAAAAGAAAAATGGCCCATGACGAAAATCTACTTGTCAGCAACTTTTCAAACAGAAGCAGTCTGCGAAAGAGACGGCATGCTCGGAGATTGAGTGAGACAAAAAATGAGACTAATTAATTTAAGAAGCTCTGACAATCAGCATCTGTTTGCCTCACACTTGGGGAAAATCTGTCATTTAAATTTCTAAGAATTATTTATTAAGTGTTGAAAGTGAAAATGGTAAGCCTTTAATGCGGATTTTAATGAAAATTAATTTGTGAATTCATTTAAACTTAAGCTGACTGATACTCAGTTTGGTTGATAAGTTTGGCAGAGAGTAAAAAAAATATTTAAAATATTTATTAATGGTTTACTATTTACTTACTATATGTAGAGACGAGTAATATTCTTCTTTATTTTTGTTTTAATATTAACTTTAAGCTTAAACAGCTTTTCCAAGAGTGAACTTTCCCCTCTACCTCAACCTCTTTACCGAAATGAAAAACTTAAAAGCAAGTAATATGTAAAACTTAGTGTCGTTGAGCTGAGATAACCCATCTTTTTGGCAGTGCAGCGGAAAACGCGCTGACATTTATTAATGTTAACGCATCAACAACAATCGCTCCGGCCAATGGAGTGGGCGTGGCAGGAGCTACACAAGTGGAATTAAATACGCATTTGCCCTGTCAGCTTCACAGTGAGCAAAAGCGATTTTGAAGAGCGTGTCATAAAAGTTTGTAAAAGTCTCTAGTGGGTGTTAGTGGGGTGGTTGGTTGGTTGGTTGGATAAAAACAGATTTACCCAGGCCACTCGGAAGATAATAAAAATGTGAAGGTGCCGGCAAGCATTATGAAAATGACATTAAAATGACAAAAGGATCATCAGAGTTAGGTAATATACTAAAGGAAAAAGAAGGCCAGAGAGTTATAAAAAGTGGATTGAAGAGGCCGTTGCTGGGATGTACTTACCTCTCTTAAATCTCATTGCAAGGAGGCAATTACAGCGCAGAAAATGGCAAT